GGATTAGTTTCACCAAAAGCCCCTGAACTTCGAGAGCCAATTCACATAACCTCTTGACCTTTGGGGTATCTCATAAAACCCCTTGAACTTTGAATTTAATTCACCGAGCCCACTACATGTGATTTGCAAATAAATAAAGATTTTTGAGAAAAAACTTAAGATTTAGGAAGTAGTATGTTGCCTGTAAATGACAAATGACAAAGTTTAGGATTTTCTTTTTTTTTTCAAGGATTGTAGTTATTTGGAAATTACAGGTAAGAGGGGTCCGATGAGGAAATGTGAAGTTTAGGGGCTTGTGTGAGATAAACAAAGTTCAGGAGTTATGTGAACTTAACTCAATAATAATAACAATTTATGTATTTTTAATTTATTTTTGAATTATTATTGTAGTGTATATCTAAAATGATTAAAGTGATCCACATTTTGTTCCCTTTCTTCCACTAATTTTTTTCCTCACCATTTAATTTTAGTTATTTTTTAATATTTTTTTTATTTTTTACCTTAAATTAAGTACGCAACTATAATATATGTAAAAAAAGTAACATATTTCGATAGGACTAGGAGGAGAAGTGATCCGAAGCTATTGGGAAAGGGACGATAGAGAAAAGAAAGAAAATATAAAAACAAAATTCAGAGAAGTAGTTCTACATTTTTACCTCAATGAATTTTAGATGTATATAAGTACGATAAAAGTGGGACAATTTTTTACAATTATATATCGATTCTCTCGCCAAACCCAACAAACCTCCGACGACTTAAAAATCCAAAATCCAAGAAAGTAACCAAAGGAAACATGCAACTGAACTAACAACTTTCTCCCTGATGAATGCTTCCCATAAACTACAAACATCCATGTCCAACCTTGTTCCCTGCAATCACAATCTCAAACTCCTTGCCCAAATCCTCAACAACCCACCTCCTCAAATCCTTGAGACGCGACCCTCACTACCTATAATCTGTTTGATGAAATGCCTGAAAGAAATGTGGTTTCCTGGACTTGTATGATTCTTGGGTACTGTTGAACTATTCAAGATTTCAAGAGGCTGTTAAATGTGGTTTCCTGGACTTGTATGATTCTTGGGTACTGTTGAACTATTCAAGATTTCAAGAGGCTGTTTTCAGATGGTATTGCCACTGTCTGCTTGATGGGTTCATCGGTGAATCGAAGAAGGGAGGAGTTGTGCAAATGGTACCTTGTAGTCTAACCGAAACTTCTCAGCGTTGTATAAAATTTGAACCTTTGAAATCACAACTATGTCCAAACTTACTGATTTATCATCTAAATGCACTCCAAGATAGAAGAAACTTTTCTCTTTGCGTTGTAATCTGTCTAATTATGATTGACTATAAATTTCACATAGCTCATGATGTGAAGCATGGGGGCTCGATAGGGATGTTAAATAAGTAGGTTTGGGTATTAAATGGGCGGGCCATAAATGGGCGGGCATGTTTTGCTCATTTACCCATTTATGACCCATTTAATATTTTCTAAATGGGCGGATTTTTACCCGCCCATTTAATAAACGGACCGTCCATTTAATAAACGGGCCGCCCATTTAATAAACGGGCCGCCCATTTGCCCATTTAACTATAGTAGCTATATATGTATAATACTTTTAGGGTGTTTTTTGTAAACTTTTAGGGGTTTTTTCGTAAACTATTGGGGGCTTTTTATAAAATTTAGGGGGGCTTTTTGTAAACATTTTGAATTATCAAAATATGCACATGCATGTACATAACCTATTTAAGAATATCATGAACATATTGAACAAGATAGCATTAAAGTTACCAATCATGTATTTTTTTTTTCTTTTTACTATGCCAAGCGCAAAGAACTCAAAGAATACATCACCTGTAAAATGATATACATTATTTATTACAATAACCAATGCCACAAGAAGCCACTTATACCACATCAAAAAGAAATTCAAATAGCGCACAACTTTTTCGAACGTGCAAACCTGTCTTATGAATAAGCATCACAACTCGCCTTAAAATGCCACAATAACCCCAATCAAAGGAAAAATACAAACAAAATTTTGATGGGATAGGGATCATAACAAACACATTAACCAAACATCAAACCCCTCACGAGAGTCCACATAATTGTTGAACTGATAATTATTCATTTCAAGCATTGCAATGCGAGGGACCACACCAAACCCGAATAGAAAAAGGAAACACAACAAACCTAAAATCCCTGTTCATTGAGATAATCACCAAGCCTCTCAACAATCATATTGCACTGCCCAAGAGTCATTGGCTCATCATAAATGCCAAAGATTAAAGCAAGATTAGTTTTCTTGATTGTAACACCTCATGCACCCTGAAAGAAACAAGCAAACAACCAGTTCAATTATGTTCATCCTAGCAGTAATATGTTCATCCTAGAGTTCCAGTTCTTCCACAAGTAACCAGAAGCAAAATACATAAGGGCTAATTATTTTTATTGGTCAAACTAACATAATATGTTCATCCTAGCAGCAGATATTAGTCTGGAAACTTTGCACCAATTGCTAGTGCAATCGGAGGGCCAAAAATAAAACCTCTAGCCCCAATTCCTGTTAAATCTAACATGGAAATTGTAAATGAATGTTGCATGAAGTGTCGCTTGTAGTACACATCCTTAGATATTCCATCACATATGATTATCATTCATATACTCATATGAAGTGCCAAAAGGAATGTCATCAAACTTTTCACTAAATGAGATATTAATAAATATACTAGAAAACAAGACCTATCTTTCACTAACTGAGATGTTATAACAAAAAAAAAAGGATAGATTGCACATAGACCATATATAGTAGGCTTACAAAAAATTCTTAAATATTATGTTGAACCTAGCAAGAACCATAGCATGACGTATTTGAATTTTATGTTGAAAGAATCAGAACAGATTACAAAGGGATGACGCAGATCTCTGAACTGTGACCAACTCCAGAGCTAAATTCTTTATAGCATGTCTGTGACAATGTGTTGTTTGACATGGTTAGCTTGTTCTCTTGTGTCATAAGGAAATTTGTGGGAATTACAGCAAGTAAATTGCTTCTATTGTCTATTCATAGCTTGGGATACTGGTTGAAATAAAAGAGCTCTTTGTAATTGCTCTATTTCCATAGATTTTCAAATGCTGACCTTGATGATGCTGAAACTGGAATAAGGTAAATTGGTAGGACGAGATAGACAAATAGAATTATATCGATTATGCTGAGATTGACGTTCATAATACTTTCCCACTCTTACATTTATATTCATCATGGATGCAGGAAACAGAAAGAGATGAAGGATGTATAACACACCCTCGACTGTTATGTTTGAAAATTGAACCATTTGGATCGAAAAGTTATAGCCAAAGTCACCTATTTCATGTCTATGGGCTTGTTCAGTTTATTGACAATAAATTCAGAGGACAGGTAATGATCTATCATCTTGAAGGCACTCTTCACAAAGAAGTGGAATGTGATGGAGAAACACATGATAACTGGTTAAATCCAACCAAGATAAAAGGGTCGCTGAATAACGAAGAGGTATAGTAGTAGATGGTAGAAGTTCATTCATCATAGGTGAAACTTTAATGGGAATATGTGGGCTAACTTTGATCATTTTTAGTGCTTAACCTACACTATTGTAACACAAGTATCTGGTGTGAGATTTTTGAACAATAATATCTTCACCCAACTGTAGCATCATCAATTTTTGTTACTCAATGAGGCCAAGCAATCCCCTCCCTCTCTTTCTTCTCTTCTCAATCTTCTATAATTTTCAAACTCTAATGAGCCTGCAACACTGCCAAATTTCACTAAACTGATCTCCAGCAATAAAAAGTATTCATCGCACCATTTAGCATCACATTTTTTGTAGCTACCAAAAAAACTGGCATACTAATATTTCACCAAAAATATCAGCTTTCTCGAAAATTGGTTAGATTCTCGTCGTTTTTAACATCTTTCCCCTTCTAAACCCCCGGTTCAGATTCATAACTTAGGACAAAAAAAAAGCCCTAATTTTTTTTCAAATAAATAAATGTATCGTAGTAATTGATTAAGCAAGACAGGAATAGGTCAAAAGGAGTATGGCTGTCTTACTTGTCCCAATTGATCTCGGTTTGATCCAATTCAACCTCGGCCGCCCTTCGATCCGCAATGATCTGATCGAGATCCCTCTCATCCTCCATCGAATCGTCCAGTCCCACGGGCTCATACTGATCTTGCTCATCCAATCTCCGATAATCGCTATACAAAACCGAAACAAAAGTTAGGGCTTTTGAATTGACTGACGACATCACCTAGTTACAGATCTAAACAAAATAGGAAGAAATTAGTGAATTTGAAGGGACTGGCTCCATGAAGTTATCATTGTAGAGATCCTCCCCTTCCTCCTCCTCCTCATCGCCGTCGGGTACAGCGTCAGTCGTCGGGGATTACGTTGGGATCGGACGTGCGGCCTCGTCTTCGTCGGAGGAGGACGAGTTGTAGGAGTTGGTCGTCGGAGGGAGGCGGTCGGTGCTGAACCCGGCTGAGGTTGGAGACGACGATGAGTTCTCGGGATCGGCCATCGGGAGGCGAGACGACGACCTTGGCTGCTGCTGCTTCAGGGGTTCGAATTTTGGTTTTGGGGATCGGGTGGGCAAATGGGTGAATATAAACTGCCCATTTACTACCCATTTAGAATAGTTTGAAATGAACCCGCCCGATTAGACCCATTTAACTTAATGGGTGGGTTTTGGGCGGGCCAATTGATGGGCGGGTTGGGTGGGTAAATGAGTATGAGCAAAATTTGACTTCCCTAGGGCTCGACCAATTATGATTGACTATAAATTTCAGTCCTGCATTTTGTTTCTGGGTGTATTTCCCAACAACATATGTACGTATCTATTTTGTAAGTAGGATGCGTGTCTAATAAAAATACAGAGTCCACAAATATAAGTTACAGAACAGTAATATCTCGAGAGCAAAACTAAAAACTGTGCAAAATATATATCCAATACTCACGTTGCTGAAAACTTTACTCAAAACAAAGGCAAGTAGCTAGCAAGACTGTTTTTATTCACACAGTCTTCTGGTTTACACTAGTTAGTCTGCACGCACCGGCACAAGGGGCATGTATTTTTCCTACTCATCCACGGTGCGATGCATCCCCAGTGGAAAACATGGCCACAGAAGAGCTCGCCCTCTTCGGACCACCTGCTCTCTATCTCGTTACAGCACACGGCGCACTCTCTCTTCTCGCAGCCGTCCTCCCTCTCGTCCCTCCATCTCCCCTCCGTTGCAGCCTCCATCTCCCTGGCCAGTTTTGCAGCCTCCTCGTACCCCACCCGCCTCTCCATGTAGACATTGACATAAACATTCACGTCAGATTTGGCGCCAACAGCCTCTTGTACCGCTTGATGGACAAACTCGCGGATCTCCGTCTTCAAGAACTCACGGTGACGATGCTCCATGGGGAATTCTGGAATATCTTGGCAGTCGGGGAGAGGCGAGGACTCTAATGCTCTGAAGCTAACACAGCGGATGAAGGGTTCCTTGGCCAGGGGACAGGGGAAGGCGTAGCCACGAGAGCCAGTTTCTGGGACGGTTACTTTGGTCCAGTCGTTGAACTGCAGCTCGACGTTGACGGTACCGCTGCTTGTGAACTCATCACCGTCGCCGCCATCGGAAGAAGATGGAGGTGATGGGACTGAGCCGAGAAAGAGATGGCAGGGGCCTCGGATCAGCTCTACGTTGTTTTTCTTCTCCTTCTTGAAGAGTTCATGAGGGAGGCGGGGGAATTCAATAGGAGAGGAAGCCCGAACCGGAGGAGTCGGAGAGTCGGACGCAGCGGCATCCTTCTGCTGTGCAGAGAAGAGCTCGTGAGGGAGGCGGGGAGTCGCCATGGTCGTCTTCGTCGCTGAGAGAAGATTGAAAGTTACTCCGAGACAACGACGTACGTACGGCAGAAAAATCTCAACACGGAGGAGTTTATAAAGCTACTGTTGTGAATTCCCTTCGAACTTGGACTCCTGATTCCAATGGGATTAGAAAGTAACTTTGAAGTCTCAGGTTTCCGAAGGTTGCAAGTCCGCACCGACTTCAAATTTTGGGAAGTTTGTGATCCCTCCAAGATTTGGATCTCTCTCCACCGAAAAAAAAAATAGCGAAGAGACTACTATTTTAATTTTAGTCTATTGATTTTATCTTAATGGTTTAGATGAAATAAATCTTTTCTAACTATGATTATGAGAATCAATTAGCCTAACATATTTTCTATTTTTACTTCTATCTAATCTATTTTCCTAATCTTGTATATCTGGTCCTTCTCTCTATTTATTTTTCCTATTTATTCCGTGGTTTTTTTCTTTCTTTTTCCTTTTTTTTCTCATCTCCCTTTTTTTCTTTTTTCTTTTTTCTTTTCCCTTTTTTCCGCAAAATATTCTTTTTATTTTTTATGTTTTTTTTACTTTCCAATAAAAAGAAATTTTCTTTAATTTCAATTTTTTTCTACTCCAATTTTTATATCATAATATTTGAGATCATTCTACAGTAAGAAAAAAAAATTTATTCAGGCCACTCCACCTTTCTTCGTGATGGATCAAAAAGTCTTGAGCTCAGCATGGCAATGAAGAAATAAATCGTAAAAATTCTCATCCTTCTACAAGATCACTTTTTTCCTTATATTGTTTACTACAGTCATGACTCTTGATTAATTATTAAATAGTGCGCTTGAATCATATTTGTATCAAACTCATTTGTTAGTAATTATCTGGACTTTTGGACTAATTTATGGTTTTTAATTTGAGAGAGGTCAATCAAACTCATTTGTTAGTAATTATCTGGACTTTTGGACTAATTTATGGTTTTTAATTTGAGAGAGGTCACTTCTTCTGAAGTTGTGCTATTGAGACCGACTTTTGGACTAATTTATGGTTTTTAATTTGAGAGAGGTCACTTCTTCTGAAGTTGTGCTATTGAGACCTGTTACATCATTGCATTGCCTGAATATGACAAGACGCCTTTTGACATCAATGTCATTGTTCAGATTACAATAGATTAAAACATTAATATTCTGATTCCAACCATACATATTGACAAAAAAGTTTGTATGAATCAAAGTAGATTGTTAGACCCTAGAGGGGGGTTGATTAGGGTCTTAAGCTAATCTAATCCAATTTTATGCCAATTAAAACTAATACAAATATATTCTTGCAAGATAGATATACAAGAGTTATAAGCAAG